TGCACACAGCATGTAAAGTAAGACAAACAAATCACCTTATGATTTTCTGTGAGGTGTGAAGCCGATCATTAGTATGTATTCATTTATATGTATTACGCATATTAAGATCTAATTTTAAACCAAGTATATAAAGATTGTAATTACCAGTAATGTCCAAGCTGGGTTTGTGTATATTAGCCGCAAGGATATTCACACGCATTCCCATTGCCCAGGCTGAGTAATATTGAACAGCAGACAAAAGGGGTAGAGTATTTAACCAAGCAGTTGGGAAAAGAATGGTGTCCACCTTGAACTTTTCTACCAATGAGATGGCAGGTTCACGAAAGTTAAGCATATCAGCACAAGTGAAAACACCAAACTTCCCAAAGGAGGTGTTGAAGTTGACAAACTGGGGCTCCTTCGCAAAATTGAAGTGGATTTCTGAGGCAAAAAGGTTGTACTGTTTATAAAAAGGGAAGGGAGAGAGAGAGAGAGAGAGAGAGAGAGAGAGAGAGAGAGAGAGAGAGAGAGAGAGAGAGAGTGTTTATAGCGTTAGAAGAAAATTATTTCACTAAAAATACGGGGAAAAACATGTGATGCTGATGTTTTCTAGTAGATATTTGTACTTTATTCCTGTCCTTTACAATGTTATGAAAGAAACAAACAGGGAAAACAAAGGTCCAGATAAAACTGGATTTTATATTCTCAAAACAAAGAGGTTAACCACTGAGTGTTTCATGATCTAAGTAGCACTTGGAGCAATTCTTGCTCCTCGAAGCTCTTATGGAACTTTTAATTCAAATACAGCAGCATTACTTTATATTTTGTCTAACTGATAGGGCTATCATGTTTAGATAGCAACTAATGGACATTACAACATTTGAAGCCTAGATTAGTCACTCTAAAAATAGTTACCTTGTGATAACGGGCCAGAAACTTTCCTTCTGAATCATAAACAACATTGGTATTGTACTGATAGCGACCATCACTGGGACACTTAGGATCACTGGAGTTACATGTTTTCTTGTCCCCCATGTTGGCAACCACATAGATGCCATAATTCTTTGCCATGCAACTAAGCCTTTTCTGCACTGGGGTAAATCCAAACCTAAAATTGAAAGGAAGAATTTAATGAGAAAGGCAGTATCTAGAAATCTGGTAGATTGATCAACAGTGCACAGACACTAGCTTGATAAATGCATTCTTGCTGAGCTGGGATAAGGAAGGAAGGAAGGAAGGAAGGAAGGAAGGAAGGAAGGAAGGAAGGAAGGAAGGAAGGAAGGAAGGAAGGAAGGAAGGAGGGAAGGAAGGAAGGAAGGAAGGGAGAAATTTAAATGTTGGTTGATTCAGAAGCAGCAGGCGGGAAAACTCAGCAGGATAAATTATGAAAGCAGCATTCTATCATCCTGATGCACATTTTGCCCCCTTTGCGTGTGCATCTTGATATTGTGTGCCTCAGTGGTGGGATTCAGCCAGTTCACACCAGTTTGCTAATTTTTTGTTACCCAGGCCCAGAATGGACTTCCGGAAGTGGCATCCACACAGAGAACCAGTTGTTCACATATTTGAATCCCACCACTGGCGTGCCTTCATCAAAGGGATGGAGCTTGTGTCATGCAATTGCTGATTTTCATTTTGATGAAAGCCTCTGATTCTGCAGATCCCTTTGTTCAGAAGTATTAACAGTCTTAAAGAAATCTTTTTTTTCTTTTTTTTAAATAAGAGAACAAATAAAGAACATATTTTCAAGGAAATCTTAACCAAAAATGATATATGGACATCTTACTATCAATATACCAATGGTGGCTAGAAAAGTGACCCCAAAAGAGGAGGCAAATTTATTATCTGTGGCTGATTCATATTTTGTATAACCGTTTGTGTCTTCATAATATATATCAAGATTGGGGCTTGTATATTCTTTTGCAGTGTGTACATATTCTACATCAGACATGTCAAACACAAGGCCCGGGGGGTGGATGCGGCCCGCAAAGTGGTTTCATGTGCCCCGTGAAGCCATCCTGGAAACAGTGAGGGAACGGCCCCCATTGCCTTGGCCCTGGCCCAGGCCGGCCGGGAGCCAAGGTACAATTTTGTGGTGGCCATCTATGCTGAAACGCATTCAGTCTTAGCTCCACAAGGCTGTCTGGAAACAGCAAGGAACCAGCCCCTGCTGTGTCAGCCCCACCCCCTGGGTGCATGCTGGGGAGGTGTCACCTCCCTAGCCTTCCATCGCCTGGAAGTGGCCAGCAAATGGCCCTTGCCTACTTCACATATCCGGCTTGATGGGCTGCGATGGAGGGGTTTCAGCAGGCAGTGAGGCTTCTCCAGTGGACCATGCCTTGGCACTTGCCCCGGTCCCACTCCTGCCCCACTCCTGCCCAGGCCCCTACAGGCATCCTTGATGCGAACAATGTAGAGCTGGCCATGCCCACTCAATAGGCCACAACCACTCCATCCACACCCACCCAGTAGGCCACACCCCCCCGCCCCCCCGAGGGCAACCGCAATGCTGATGTGGCCCTCAATGAAATTGAGTTTGACACCCCTGTTCTACATTCTACTAAAATTCTCATCATGATCTTTAACTGGGAGAAACATTGCATTAGTCTGCCAGTACAGTAGTTCTAGACTGGCAATTCTTAGAATTTCTAGTCAGGCCATTCTGATGGAGGAATTCTGAGAGTTGCAAGATCCATACTTTTGAATGACACTTGCCCTTGGGTCAGGTCACAGCTGACCAGAATTCTAGGGTTAACTAATATTATAACATCCCTGACAGCCCTAAGGCAGAACTGGCTGTGACTTTGCTATAAATCAGGGGTCTTCAAACTTGGCCCTTTTATGACTTGTGGACTTTAACTCCCAGAATTCCTCAGCCAGCGTATGCTGGCTGAGGAATTCTGGGAGTTGAAGTCCACAAGTCATAAGAGGGCCAAGTTTGAAGACCCCTGCTATAAATATTCATCCAAACTGTTGAGATTCAGTTACTCATCTCAACTGAGTGCAACATTTTATTTAATATTATAAATAAAATATTTCTCTGTAAATGATAAAATGGTGACAATCCTTTTTTGAAGGAATAGTTGCACTGAGGCCATATAGCTTGCATTGTAACAGTGGTGTACTGAAGCTGATTTGTATCCACTTTCTGGAATTTTGCCAGCCAATTGAGAATCCAGCCGCCATGCCTAGATTGCCAATCAGCTATTCCACAATTAGGGGTTTGGCAGTGATAATGAAACCAGCAGAGCTGGTTCTTAAACAATTAACAGCACATCGCTGCCAGTAAGTGACCAACAATGCAAAACAGGGAGTGTTTGCTGCTGTTATTTAATTAATAAAGTGACTCAAATGTTTGACTGTGCCTGGGTAGGGATTTGTGAACTCTGATGAGGCAGGTAGGGTGTTCTCTGATGTGAGCTCTGCTACCTCTGGCTTCGATACATACTCCTAGCTTCTTCAGGTGGCTGGGGAGGGAGAAGTAGCTGGATCTAGGACAGGGGTAGGCAACCTTGGCTCTTTTATGACTGGTGGACTTCAACTCCCAGAATTCCTGAGCCAGCTGTGCTGAGGGGAAAGGGAGAAGTTTCCAAGCTGAGCCATGCTGGCTCAGGAATTCTGGGAGTTGAAGTCCACAAGTCATAAAAGAGCCAAGGTTGCCTACGCCTGATCTAGGAGGTACTTGATACCTCATTAAAAGAGGGGGTCATATTGCTCATCACCTTGAAGATGACAGTGGAGTGGTCCCTGCTGAAGAGAATTTCCCTGGGTGCAACAATACTGGACAATTACTATCCTACCTCCACCCTACTTTTTTCTAGGAAAGGCTGCTGGGAATGTGGTAGGGCTTGAATTACAGAGTGCCCTAAAGGGAATAAAATATCTGGACTCCTTTTGCGTCACAATTCAGATCAGGGCATCAGACAGAGAAAGGCCCAGTTGTTCTGGTGGATGATATCTCTGATGGATGACATTTTTCAAGACCTGGACTGGGGAAATATGCCCTTTCTAAACCAACTCCTGGCTCGATTCCATTGAACATGGGATCCCTGTGAATTGTCTGCAAGAGTTAGGAGTAAAGAGTATTTTTCTACAATAATTCTGATCCATTCTAAGTAGGTAACAGCAGCTGTGGGTGGCAGGAAACAGAAGTCAGCTCAGTAAAACCAGCACTGCAGATTGGGCCCTATCACCATACTTTTTAACTTCTGCATAAAATTGTTGGAAGAGGCTACCCATTGCTTTGGATTGTTTCAGTGGTATAGAAAGTAATGAAAATACTTTCTGATGAATATATGCAGAAGCTGTTGCTTAGGCAAAAGGGGCTGAAATATTTTTAATCAGAATGTCCAGATGATATTTAGAAATTGTTTAGACAGATACTCCCCACTTCACTAGAGTGTAAGAAGGGGGAGGTAGTACTCAACAATTAGATTTGCAAGATTCTATTGTTATAACCAATCTCAATAAAAGTATCCTAAGCTTTCCTGTGAAGTTGATTTTATGGTCTGGTCTACCTAGTGGGGCTGACACCTTTACTGATGAGATCCACATATTTCCACCCAGAGCCAGTCCATAAGGCCAGTGGACTCTTGATCTGGTGTCTACAGGCTGTGGGGACTGTTGGGACAAAGCAGGCTGAAGTTGAATTCCACCAAGACAGGAATGTTGTTTGTTCAGAAAACCGCTTAGCTCTGTGTCTACTTGGGTCATAGTATTCAGACAGGGCAGCACTCTCCCAAGGAAATTAACTTGATTTTTTATAGAGAATTAGGCTCTCAGATACACAGAAGTGCAGTAAACAAGGAAATTAACATTGCTATGTTACATGGGAAAATCTATTGCTGTACTGCCACCTAGTGACAAAAATCTGGACAACTGCCTATCAATTCAGTCTGGTACAATATTTTTAGAACTCTATTAATTCTTAACATAAACTAATAAAAGAAATCCACAAAATGTGTATGAACATTTCCTCTTAGAGACTTGTTTAATATGGAAATATACTTCCCAAAGAACCCAGCATTGATAAATTTAAATACCAAAATGTATTATTATTATTATTTTTTAAAAAACGAGAAATCAAATTTCACCGGGAATCACTTGCAAAACTCACATTTTAAGAGCATTTCCTAATTGCATGTGCTATCTTACTCAAATAAAATTCAGTCAAAGCATAATAAAACATTATACATAGATTTGGTTATACATGAGGTAAATAAAGCTGTGTGCCTATTCTTAATTATCCAACAAGCTATAATTCTGCCTTTACAGTACAAATGCAAATTGGAATCACTATTGTGTACACAGAAGAGCATTAGAAAAACCCGCTGTTAATTCACTGTACAAATGGAGAAGTGTGCTTGTAAGTAACTGAGACTCATTATACTACTTTGTGTATCAAACGTATTTGTTAAATTTATATGCTATCCATCACACTAGCCAAAGTGATTCTTCACCTTCAAGGAGATTCTACTTAGACTTGATAAGATTACCTTTCTGGATTGTCGCATGGAATCCAGTTTACTTCAGGATCTGGTATATCCTCAAGATAGGGATAAAGTGTTTCCCGAGTAAAGACCCACCCATAAATGGCATCTTCAGGGGTCACAATGATGCGGGCTCCCTACAAAAAGAAAGAAAAAAAGAAGAAGAATGCCTGTTCAATTAATAGATGCCACTGCTTCCAAGAACAAAGACGATGGAACTTAACTAACCCTGCATCTGTTGTACCTGTTCAGCAGCTGTTTTGATGGCTTCTTCTAAGATGTCTAGATTTCTGTTCATTAAATTCAGGGCTTCTTCTGGAGAGACAAGTTTTGGGGTGGGTCCGGTAAGTATAACAGCATGCTCATAGATAGCAGCAAGGAATGTTTCCACAGCAGAAGCCCCAAGAACAACCCCAGTCAGGAAGACAACCCAAAGATGAGGCTGGAAGGCAGCCATGCTTATAGAACCTAATTCTGTCTCAGAATGAAACAAAATGGGAGGTCTGTTTAGGTTAATTAGAAGGGAGGGATGGAGTTATTTGGTGAGTGACAATTTCCCTGTTACATCACCAGCTACTCTAGGAGAAGAGTACATTGTGAAACACAGTGATTATCCCATTATATCCTTTGTACCCAGACTTCCTGAAACTAGAATTATCTTTGTTAAGAAATATATTAAAAGAGACAGAGACAGCATTCAGTTCCTGAAATTAAGTCACTCTCACCTCCCTAACACTGTGATTGGGAAATTCCCTATTCAGATTTCAAAGACACTTGGTAGAAAAAGTCAACCAGGTATTCCACAATCAGACCAAAAACATAACTTTTCCTTAAAAATTACCAGAGATAATAGGTAATGCTACAGGAGTCTGTTAAGCCAGTACATCCTAAATTTCATAAATGGAGGGGGCACTTAGGTAACCTTCCCTTCTCTCCGGGGTCAACAGCAATTTTCATTCATCCAACAGGGAAAAGGGAAATGTGTCACATTTGTGGTCACTGCTGTTGAATCTTAATTGACAGATTGTCTCCAAATCTGCTGTCAATACGGCCCTTTCTTCCCAACCACATGCTAAAGCAATGACGAATTTGTTAATTAATAATCATAATGCTCCATCAGGAAGTAAAACCCTTTAACAATGCAGTGTTCTGGGATTTCATTATATAATTCTCCTCACAGGCTGACCTTTCTTTGATTTGAAGGCTGTTACAATTTTTTCAATTTTCTAGCCTGGAAGGGGGACAAGGGAAGAACAAGCAGCTACATTATATTATTGAGGAAATGTTACAAACAGGTGCAATATATTTAGGGAAATTCAGGTCTTACATATTAGAGGCTAATGAATAGCTTCACCGTATATCCTGATTTGACTGAGATTGCCTCAGTTTGATGTTCAAGGTTGGGTATCCCAGTTTATAAGCTGCTCCCCATTTTGCTAACATACTCCTTTTTTGTGGTTTACTGCTCTATTTAAAGTGGACAACTGTGGCTTATTCAACACAGTATAATTAATAAGTTTGATTTAAGCAGCATTCATTTATATACAAGAAACTTACCAGACAGGAGAGTAAAACAAATGCAACAATGGTTTTCAAGAACAAAATACTATATCTTGCTGTTTTCAAGAAGAAAATTCACACACACACACACAAACTAAAATCAATTTCTGGCTAGGATGGGTACCATAAAGAAATAAATTCTGCTTGAAGGCTTGCCAAGATCTAAAGAGGCATCTGATGACATTAGTTACAAAGTGCTTGTAGTTCCAGGATCCAGTAGTTTTCAACATCTGACACTTCCTGATCACAGCTCCCTTTCTGGTAGGCTTCAAATAGTCTTTGTTTGTCCTGTAAGACATTTCCTGTCAATAAAGCCTTTTTCAGTTAGGGTTACAAAATCTGTTTTACAGATACTGGGTGAGAGCCAGCCTTGGATTGGGTAAGAGAGTGGGCATATAGCCATTGGTTTTGATTCTGCTCCTCAATATGCTAGAGAACAAGCCTCTTATGTATGACAATGTAAATACTTTATCACATTTCCCTTCAAGTCTTCTCCTCTATAGGTTGAAACTACCCAGTTAATTGTTCCTCACAGGAATAGGTTTCCAGGTGCCTTATTATCTTAAAAGCTCTTCTTTGGAGTAGCTTGTCAATATGAATTTGGACTATGATATCCAAAATTGGGCAGTTTTTTCCAAGGGGACTTGAAAAGTCAGGGTAAAGTTCGGAGGTTATGACTTGCAATCTGGCCTTTATACCTCCTGTTAATGCACTCAAAATAGTATTTGCCTTTTTAGCAGCTACATCATGGTGTTGACTCATTTTTAACTTGTCACCTACCAGGACTTCCAGATCTTTTTCACAATTTCTACTAATCCTCCCTTCCTTTAATCTTTTTTTTCCTCCCCTGATGTAGACTTTATATTTTTCTCTCTTAACTATCATCCTGTTTGTTCTGATTGTCTATCTTAAATACCATAAATCTCCTAACCCCCACTGTAGTTTTAGTACTGAAAGAACTGATATAGGGCAGGCATGTCAAACTCGTGTCGACACGTGACGTCGCGCGATGTATCACGACTTTTCCCCATTGCTGGCAATGGGGTGGGCGTGGTTTCGGTGACGCATCCGGCCCACGGGCCGGCAGTTTGACACCCCTTCTATAGGGGAAGGGAGTACTTCTCCCTCCCAACCCCATTTTTCAAGTTAGGTAAAGGTAAAGGTTTCCCCTGTCCAGTCATGTCTGACCCTAGAGGGTGGCGCTCATCTCCATTTCTTAGCTTAGTATGATTTATGTTGTTTGCTTAGCTAGTACTCCATGACTATCACTAAGTGTCGCATCTTATATTTTATGATGAAGTGTTGTATTTCACAATTTATGATGAATGTATTTTCATGTTGTATATGATCATGATTATCACTATTACTTGTATGTACTGAGAGCTTATGCACGGGAGACAAATTCCTTCTGTGTCCAACCACTCTCGGCCAATAAAGAATTCTATTATGTTTATTATGTACTATGTTACCTTCCCACCAAAGTAGTACCTATTTATCTACTTGCATTTGTGTCCTTTGGAACTGCTAGGTTTGCAGGAGCTGGGGTAAGTAACAGGCGCTCGCCCCATCGCACTGCACTCGGATCTCGGACCCAGCTGTCAGCTTTCCAGCTGACAAGCTCAGCATCTTTAATTATCGCTCCCATTTTATTTTTTTTGCAAGTTAGCACCCTTTAAAGTGAATAGCATGTTTCTTTCCCCACCCTGAACTGAAGCTTGCTTGATCATTTGGTGAAATTAATTTTCCAGTTAAGTGGTGTATGAAAAGTACTAAGACTACTGAAAGGATGTTTGGTAGACTACACACACACATACACACACAAGCATTTCATTTTAAAACAATGCTTGCATTTGCTGCTTATCTTCTGAAACTTCCTTTAGTTAATGGATACTCTAGTTGATTAGTTCATCTGAGTCACACTATAACCCCCCCCCCCAATTAATGACTGTGAAAGGGACATTATGAGGGAGGACAGGGGCTTCAAGCATCTACACTACTCTACTCGCCTATGACTAGCAGAGCCATTTGCACGCCTCCTCAAATGAGCAAAATGTGCTCTCTCTCTCTCTCTCTCTCTTATGTCGCTGACCCACAGGACTTTGCAAGCCAAAGGCTATGATTTAAATATGTGCTTCATGTCAAACATTTGTTCCACTCTTGGAAGTCTAAGCTTTAAATGTATGTTGACTTCTTTGACCCTATGAGCTTTGGTATGTATGCATTCTGTTTCTTCTGTCTTGATACTGACTTTCAGAAAATGTCTAAAAAAGGAAAAGATACAAAGCCATGTACAGAATGCAGTTCCATATTAACGTTCAGTAAACTGACCAAACCAACATAGGATCATTCGAAATAATACTTTATTTGTTTGCATTTTTTGTTCGTGTCCCTATATCAAAGTATAAAAGTCACCTCTTGTGCAAAACACATTTACCCTGTAAATCTCTTTGACTGTCGTTTTCCAGTGCAACTTTTTCAGAAGACCGCTACAGACATGAAAACAATGATGTGTCTAATACTAAAATGGCACATTATTGTCTAATTAGAGACTAGTGTTTTTATAATCCAAAGATTGTGAAGGAGGATTTTGAAAGAACTACGTTTCATGACATTTGCCTGGTCTTCTGCACATTGTGCTCTTAAATTTGCAAATGAAGTTAGATTTAAACTGGCAATGAGAAAATATATCATTAAGTTTCATTCAATAAAAGAGTCCTTTCTTGCTTTGAACCAAGATGAATTCCAGGCTGGGACCTATGCAAAATGAAAAAAAAATGTTCTCAGAATATTGGACACTACAAAGACAAAGAGGCAATACATGCACACTTTTCTTATAACGGGGCATATTTATTTTGCATAAACCAATAAATAAATTGTATTACACTGTGGAAATTGGCTGCAAAAACAATGACATTGCTTTACAGAGTCCACTCACAGGTAGCTACAATTCCTTTTTTGATTGATTCACATGGGAACCCCAGAAAAGAACACTGCTGTAGAGAAGGTGGTTATGTGGCAGCTTCAGAGGACTCTGGAAGAAGTGGATTATCTGGATCCCTTCCAATCAGGATTCAGGCCTGGGTATGGGACTGAAATAGCATTGATCGCACTGCTGGATGATCTGTGGCAGGAGCAGGATGGATGTGGGTGCATCCACTGTATGACCTCTGGCAGGAATAGGATAGAGATGGTGCCTCCATCCTTGCTCTTCTTAACCTCTCATGGCTTTCGATACCAAAGAACGGTAGGTATCCTTCTGGATTGGCTCCAGGAGTTGAGGGTGAAAGACATGATGTTGTACTGGTTCTCTTCCTTTCTCTGGGATTGGTTTCAGTGTTGATAGGGGAGAAGAGATCCAGCCCACAGACCCTACTTCATGGAGTGCCACAAAGCTTAATACTCTCTCCACTCCTGTTTAATATCTTATTTGGAGCCGCTGGGGAGATCACCTAACACAGGGGTCTTAAGACTTGGCAACTTTAAGACTTGTGGACTTCAACTCCCAGAATTCCTCAGCCAGCCGGGCTGGCTGAGGAATTCTGGGAGTTGAAGACCACAAGTCTTAAAGTTGTCAAGTCTGAAGACCCCTGACCTAACCGATTGGGTGAGATATCATTAGCATGCTGATGATACTACTCATCTTTATACTCTGGGCCACCTGAGTGATGCTGCAGAGGTTCTCTCCATGTCTGGAAGTTATGGAGCCTAGATGGGCCACAGTAGGCTTCAGCACAACCCAAACCAGACCTGAGTGGCTCTGAATTTTTGGATCCTCCTCATTAGGGCCTCAAACAGACCCTGTGCATAATTTGGGGGTCTTCCTGGATTTACAGCTCTGGTGGCAGCTGTGGCTAGGAGGGCCTTTGCACAACTTCAAATTGTGCGTCAATTGTACCCGTTCGTGGACTGAGGGGTCCTATTCACAGTCACTCATGCCTTTGTGACCTCCACTTTGACTATTGCAATTCACTTTATATGGGGCTGCCCTTGAAGAGTATTTGGAAACTTCAACTGGTGCAAAGAGAGGTGGCAATCGGCAGTTACTGGTGCCAATTAGTTAGTGCATATAATGTCACTGTTTCGTGAGCTGCATTGGCTTCTGGAGTGCTTTTGGGTGCAATTCAAGGTGCTGGTTGTCACCTTTAAAGTCTTTCATGGCTTGGGACTAGGTTACATATGTCTCTCCTCAGTGGTATCTATCTGTCTTATTAGATCTGGTAGGAGATGGATGCTCTGAGTACCCTATCCTAAAGAGTGATGGCTAGCAGGGACCAGAAGGACAATCCTTTCTGCCTGACACCTTCCCTTTGGAATATCATCACCCCTGAAATTAGATTAGCTCCATCCCTGTTGGCTTTTTGTAAGGTCCAAGCCTAGGTCTCTGGGCATGGAATGGGACAACTTGGCACAGCCAACTTGCCACTGCCAATTTGCTGTAGCCAACTCGACATGACCAACTCACTGTGGGACAACTTGCTGCAGGACAATTCAACAATTCAAGTATTTAAAATAATTATAACAATATTTTATTTTTTGAAATAAAGAGACCACTTGGCATCCTGTTCACAATGCTATTTGAATGGCTGATATCTGTTAAAAGAAAAGCCCAGCCAATTAATTCAGGAAAAACATATAACTAACAAGAATTGGCCTTAATTTTTTTGTGGTCTAAATGAGAATCAATTAGAAAGTATTCTGCTCCTTTCATCAAATTTTAAGAAAAAAGAATAAAATTTCACTGTACCTCCTCCTTTGTATGGCTTCGTAGGTATAATAAATTGTAGACGCTAGTCCCTTCAGAGAAAGCAGTTGTTAGTATATTTGTGACATTTCATATTTAAATGTAATAAAAGAATGAATAAATCATGTTAGTGTACCTACACTGAACAATGTGAATCCTCCCTGTATGACTGCGGACCATTCAAAACCCAGTTTTTCATTTAAGAAGCCACCTAAAGTTGGACCTACAAAAGACCTGAACAAACAAACAAACAAACATACAAACAGAAAAAAAATCACACATACTAAATTTATCATAGATCTAAAAATATATAAGATCAGGAAATAAATATGTAGCAGGGAAGAATAGGTTGGGGTAATCAATGTCCATACAAACTGCCTTTTGGAAATTCCACACTCACAACCCTTCTGCCGTGGGGTATATGGGGGTGGCTATTTCACAGGTAAAACCAGTCCACTTGGGCAGTCCACTCTGCCACCATCTGTTCTGGAGTGAGGAGATGCTGCCCTCTTCTGAACCCTTGACCTCTGAACCTTCCCCAGAAATAAGCTTTTAAATAAATGCCTCCAGTTTTGCTTTAGAACCAGGGTTTCCAGGCCTGAGTAGTTTCAGACTGTAGATTGCTAAGGTCAAACTCCACCCAAATTTCATTAGGAGCCGTAGTGGTGCAGTGGTTAGAATACAGTACTGCAGGCTAACTCACTGCTCACTGCCAGAAGCTCGATTCTCACTGGCTCAAGGTTGACTCCTTCCATCCTTCCCAGGTCAGTAAAATTAGAACCCCGATTGTTGGGGGCAATATGCTGACCCTGTAAACTGCTTAGAGAGGGCTGTAAAGCTGTAAAGCGGCATATAAGTCTAAATACTATTGCTATCTTAGAGTGAAAAAGAATAAATGCTTTTATCTTAATAAAGTTAACAAAATACTTGCGATGCCACAATTTTTGTGAGGCTGATACATACCAAAGGCAGCCATCATTAACCTGTAAACAGCCTGAAGAGACTAAGAGATCGATCAAGAACAAATTGAGTAAGACACATTGATTCCTGACGTGAGTAACTGCACATTCCCTGGCAACTTTAATTTGCTTGTTCCAAATCTCTTGGGAAACCTGAATTCCTAGGCTCAATCAGATGAAATCTGTTTCTTTAAGGTCCTTGATTCTCCCTAAGACCATCAACCAAGGCTCAAGAGAAATAGATTCCTAATTTTGTTTCCCTTGAATTCCATCCCCTGCCTCACACTTGAGAAAGATGGTAGATATGTTTGTAGATTATTTAGGAATCCCTAGAGATCCTGCTGGCCACTCACTCCCCAGGTTCCTAGATCTACTACAAAGTACGAAACAAATATACAGGATGTACCAAACGTCAGGCCCCGCAGCCTTTTTATTGCCTATGTTACATTAAATGTTTGAATTAGTTGCCAGTTATTTCTAAACAATTCCTTACTCCATTGATAGTTTGAATGTTTTAAAGTACAGTAACATTTTCTTTAAAACATATAATGGAACATATTGTAATTGACCTTTAGTACACTGTGTATATCAAGTTCAATATATAAAAGAAGTGCATGTAATTGGCATCAAGAGATGCTTTCTGAAGCCAAATTTTACCCACCCCACCCCATGGAAGCAACTGGTTAAGTCACATGCTATTTTTCTAGAAAAAACATAACAAAAACTACTTTCTTTTATATCTATATAAAGACTAGGCAACTCGTGATCCATTGGGTTATCATTTCATATATATTTCCTTATCTCTCATACACTCTCTCTGACCTTCGCTGCATCTTCTTCATACCCTTCCACACACACTTACATCCTCCCCAACCCGCACAGCATCTCTTGTGCCCCTGCCACACCCTCCACTGGGTCCTTTTGTGACGCCCCCCTGCACCCTCCACTTGCATCTTCATAACAATAAGATTTAGACTTAGTCCTCATTTTACCAACCTCAGAAGGATGGAAGGCTGAATCAACCTTGAGCCAGTCAGAATCCAGCTGCTGGCAGTTGGCAGAGTTTGCTTGCAATACTGCATTCTAACCACTGCGCCACCACGGGTCTTGCTCTCTCCTGACTCATGTCATAGTGATTCTTGCACACCCACTCACACCCCACCCACGCTCCTGACCCGTGTGGCCCTCTTGCACACTGTCATGCAATGCCATGCATCATTCCCAGCATGAATAGATGGCATGGGTTGGCAAGGGTGTGCAGCAGTTTCATAGAGATGTACAAGAGGTACAAGAGGTACTGTGTGGGTCAGGGTAGCACAGGGTACAGCGTGGGAGTCAGGGAGGGCATGTGCGGATGTGGCACAGATCAGGAAGGATGCACGAGAGGTGCGACTTCACAGATGACAGCTTTTTTTGTAGTCTGAATTCCTGACTTATCACTTGTTGCAGTGGACCATTTTGATCCATTGTTTACAAATAAGCAATCTGGTGGGCTTGATCCATATGATCCTACTTGATTTTTTCTCACCAGTAGAAATAGCTTCAGGAATTTTTCAGGAAGAAAACCCTTAATTATTATTGATACAGACTCCAAACTATGGCTTCAGACTCTGACTTATTGGTAACAACAGACCAAAACTTCCAATTTTATATACATGTAACTCTAAACATTTTTCTCTGGGTGAGCTCCTGATTCCCGAAGCTTCTCCAACTGGTAGAAAAACAAACAAGTAGATATTTGTCAACATATTGTTTCTGATTGATAAACCACGATTCTGTGGAATATGCCAGTTTTATAAACTGTATTTCCAATGCACCTTTAACATCCTACCTCTGATCCTCTATTGGCAGCCTCTTTTTTTCCTTCCTTATTATCTTTGGTTCCTTCTCATTAACCATGGCTGGACATAGATGCTTTAATTATACAATGATTAGAAATGAATGAGGCATAAAGTACAATATTTACTAAACCTTCTCTGAACTTGATCCAGTCCAACAATCAACTGTAATGGGAAATCCTGTAGGATATGTCAGAGGTCTATCAGTCTCTATTGCCTAACAGTAAATAATGTAGGTACATGTCAAGCTATTAAGTAGCTGCATCCTTTAAAAATGATTTGGGAGAAGTCCTTTGAACCTTGCCTATGCACAATACCTCTCTTATTCATTTACAGCACATCTTTGTTGAGGCTTCCTGAAACAGAGATTACTGCTACTTTAATGAATCAAATAATTGCATGCAACTTTTAAGGCTGCTAAATCTTTTCTCAGTATCATATAGAAGCCTGGAAAAAGATATACGTGCTTTAAGAAAAGGAAGAGAGGGGATGTGAACATAGCCTTAAGAGCCATTATGAGAAAGGAGTAGCCAGCAGCTCTTTGCATATATGCCAGTTTGGCAGAGGAATTTAAAGTGTTGGCCTAAAAACCAGGAGACTGTGGATTTTAGTCCTGCCTCAAGCCTGAAAACAGGCCGGGTGACTTTGGGCCAGTCACTCTGTCTCAGTCCAATCCAAATCCTCACAAATAAAAGGATGAGGAAGTATTACATATGTTTGCTGCCTTGAGTTACTTATGAAGTAATAAAGGTAGAGTAAAATATCAAATCAATAAATAAATCCTAATCCTCCTAGGCAATTAAGAAATACAAGCTTTGAGATGTGCTCATGATGAATCAATCTCAATGTCTGTTTCTAGAAGGAAGAAATTTTTGGCAACTGCAAAATAAATTCAGTACATATGACTTTCTAAACATTTTTAAAAAAGCCTTCTCTATCTGTTCACATGATTTTATCCTTGTCTTTTTTTTTTCCAGTGGGAAATGAAAATGGCATTCAATTATTAATCTTAATAATTGCCCCTAGCATTAATAAGCACTTCCTGTATATTAGTTTGCTTTTAAATGTTTTTTTTAAAGGAAATGGCTAATTTTACTTGTTGCATTAGGAAACAAATCCCAAATCAATAATCAGAAAACGTTCAATTTGTATTGCTTTTCTTCCCATCACTTACAAAATACTAGCTTCTGAAGGAAACAATGTAATATCTGTTCTTTAGCTATGACTATAACCAGCTTTCAGTGCAAAAAGTAATACTAATATTATTAATAATATTACAATGAGATCCAAAAGAGAGCAAAATGACCATGATTGTGATCTATACATCTGAGACAATCAGCTGCCCCTTAGAACTAGAATTACTCTGTACAGTGCTCTGGTGTCTTTGTGCAGTTCAACCTTTTTTACTTCTGACAAGGTCCTACATGAGTTACTCAACACTTATAGAGGATATAGATATTGGGAGAAATCATATATTGTGAAAATTTAAGGTGCAATGTTTCTGAATTGTCTCTAGCTAATATCCCTGATTCTTATGCCAAAGATTGCATACAATATGGCTGAGCAAGCATCACAGCCTAGTATCCAACAAAAATAGCATCATCACTTGAAGCAATAATAATTTTTCCTTCCCGTGTCTGCGCCATTTTGTAAACCTCAAATATCATGTTTTAGAAGTTAAAGGCTGACTACACATTCTATTGCTCATGAAGCACATCTTGATGATGCAATGATTGTAGCACTATCATAATGCAGACAGATTATGGGTAGGGCTTGATTTGGGGTGCTGCATTTATCAATGTGAAACCCCACCACCACCGCTGGTTGGCTCTCCTCCACAGATGCCTACTGTCCTATTTCCTGAAGGGCTATTGGCTTTTATGTATTTCTCCCCAACTCTTAATAATTTCTTTTGTACTTGATGATGCTGTTTAGTCTACATAATGTTTAGTTAACATTTGTATTTCTGATCATGAATTGTATAGGTATTTTATAAGTGGTTGCATACCCAAGGGCCCACAATGCACCAAAGAGTCCAGACACCAGTCCTAACAAACTTAATCCTTCTTCAAAACCATTCTCACTGCAAAAGGAAAGGCAGAAACAGAGTTATTTCCAAGGACAATATTTTCATTTACAACTACAAAACATATTAGGAGGCAATCATCACAAAAATAATTATGTAGTCCCAAAGCAACAACATCTGTAACAGAACGGTTTGTCCTTAAATATGGAAAAGAAAAATATCAAGGGCTATCTTTCTCTTCAATAGAATATATTCAGCATTTAAAATCTTTTCAGTGCTTTGGTTCGCACATTGAACTCTGCCATTGTTTGCTTAATCGTGATTATTTCTCGGTTTGGCCAAAGGCCATATTTAATATTTTTTTAATGATATATGGGATGGCAGTTTGTGGGGAATGGGGGTATGCTTTGTTTATATTGATGTGGCTCTTGTTACATTTCTTTTTTCATGAGTTTACCAATTCAAACATTAGGAAACTGCCACTAGGTTTCAGTTATCATAAATGGGGACAACAAGGCAAAAAATAGAGAGACAGAGACAGAGCACTCAGGGGTTACATGTGGCCATGGATTGGGATGTTTATTCCAGTTTATTGAATAAATGGGGGATAATCAAAAATGTTCAACATATTGGTCCATGGACCATGGTATGCAGACATTACCATATATTATTGCTGATCAGCATGATGTTTTCTTGTGTTAGTATGTTAAATGGAATTCATGGATGTACCTTTGATAAGCAAGACAGGTCATTATCCAGGGCGGGGGGGGGGGAGGGGAGAGAGAGAGGAGAAAAGGCTTTTCTGAACAGAGGCAGAGCCAAACCATAATTTGGTTTAATAAATATCTCTGTATTAAGCGATATAATAAGAATTTAAATGTGATACAGTAAATACCAAGAGGAAAAGAGGAATTATTTAATGTAATAGTTTGAGATCTGTACTAAAGATATTTGTATGTTATTGAATTATTGACCAACTCAGCCGCCACATTGCTTTTCAAATATTTAAATGTAAAATTAGCAAATTAATAAAAAAAAATTCAAAAAAAATATCTCTGTATTTAAAGCAATCCTAGCAATTTGGTTTAGTTGTTAAGGCATCAGGCTCGAAACTGGGAGACCAGGAGTTCTAGTCCCAGTCTGCGGCACAAAGCCAGCTAGGTGATCTAGGGCTAGTCACTTTCTCTCAGCCCTAGGAAGGAGACCACGGCAAGCTACTTTTGAAAAACCTTGCCAAGAAAACTGCAAGGAGTTGTCCAAGCAAAAGACAGGAACAATTGAATGGAAGGAAAAAGAAAAAGAACGTATACAACTGTAGTTAATTATTCTAGTCTTTGAGGATAAAGAATAACATAAATATGAAGAGAAGATCACTTACTATGCACAATTGATTGCTTCAGGGTATATTGGGATACCAATCATTGAAAGAGCAAAACCGTTCAGGACCAACATCAGAATGAAAAGCCAAAGTTGACTGCAAATCATAAGCATAGACACAATGCTTCATTTCAGCTGTAATTCATGGTATCTCTCTGCCATTCTGTATATTTATATTTAGAAGGCCACCCAACTCACAAGGACCTTAGAGATTTAGAGTCCACCATTTAGAGTCCGTTTATCTCTTAAGTGTCATTCTCACTAGCTGCAATAACAGAACACATGCTCCTTTCTGTTAGTCAGCACTGCTATGTTAAACCTCTCAGGTTTCATCTTGGTGCTACCTGGACTCTAAGCCAGGGGTCCCCAACCCCGGTCCATGGACTGGTACCAGGCCACAGTATGCCAGCAACTTGTCCACACAAACAAGCAAAGCCCCATGCACTCTCTGGTCCTTGGAAAAAATTTTCTCCACGGAACCGGTCCCTGGTGCCCAAAAGGTTGGGGACCTCTGATCTAAGTCACTTTAAAAATATTCCGCCTAAACTCTGGGTTGCTTCAGTGAAGATCTGCCAGGTTTTCAATCAAGATTGCCAGCTACAGAAGCCCTCCATTGAGCAAATCCCTTGCTGTTGGGCCTTCCCAACGTTTCATGCCAAGAAAATAACTGACAATTATATGTACTCATAAAAATATATTTATCTAAAGTTAAGCTAAATCTATACATAGAGCAATAAAGTGTCAAAATATACATGCGTGCAGATACAACAGCCGACTTTTAAATAAATAAAATAATCCTTTCTTGCATTTTCCCCAGATTTGGCCCAATAATGTCTGTGACACAGTTACTGATAAAAAAATAGTCTCTCAACAGCATAGCTCTGGCCGACATACAGAAATTCATTGATTCAAAACTTAGAACAGGTGTTTTCTTTTCAATTATTTTTCTTTTTCTAAGCTACCTTTCTTAGTCTTGGGGGTTTTTTGAACAAGGTCAATGGTGCATATTTTCATTATTTTTCATGTTGTTTGTGACGAGAGTTTCATTCCACTTCCCAAAATAGCAGGAAGGGAAGGGAAGGGGAGGGGAGGGAAGGGGAAAGTAGGAGAGGGTTAGGGAAGGGTGGAGAGGGGAGGGAAAGGGAACAGCTCCAACATTTCCATGGTTTATTGGTAGACTGTCAAAAAAAGAAGTCCCAAGAAAAAGCAGAAAGCTAAAGGGGAAGAAAAAGAAATGACAAAGCCAAGACCTAAAATAATCCTGCTAAGTTTTAAGCCAGTGATCCTCTATATGTCAGAGAAACATTCGAACCAGTACACAACTGGAATTTCAGCAATAACAGTAGCTGGAACAGAGATTAGAGATTAGTGATCCAGATGAGAGGACGTTCCAGCCACTATGCACTGTACTAATTAAAGTGCAAAAATTTTCCAGCAAAAAAGAAAGAACAAGCAAACCAGATAGCAACACTTGAACTGGCACGAACTGGGAAGCAGCCCTTTATGCACAGAGCAAGGCGAAACAAGCAGAGTTTGCATTAACAATGGGCTGAGGATGGATGGAGAATGATACTGTTTATTCCTGCTCTCCAGAAACAGGGCCACAGTGGGGCCACCTGCCCTGTGGATGGGTCCTTAGACTAGCACCCCCATTTTTCCAGATTAACCATCATCACTGTTAACATATTCCTATGTTATTGAAGCTCAAAACTGCCTAATTTCTATGGAGATGTGTTGATTTCCTCAAAGATATCTAATGAGCTTCCATTCATAACCAATTATTTAATTTTGAACAATGGAATTAATGTTTTGCTAATGAGTAACAAGAAGCGTGTTTCTCACTGCATAGGAGTAAGGATAGGAAGCAGGAAATGGATTTTGAGCCCCAGGAAACTACATATCTTTGTGGGAAGGGCTACAGTTTAGTGACTAACACATGGGTTAATCCCTGAATCTCCAGTCATCTATTAGAGAGACACCAGCTGGCTTAAATGAAAAGCAGTAGTCTCTTAATTCCCTTCATATATACCCCAGGAATACCACTATTTTATTTCCAAATAAAAAGTGGAATAAAATGAGATGATAGTGGAATTCCTGATCTGGAAGTTTAATGTCTCTAAGCCTTCCCATTCACAAGTAAGGAAAAACAGAATCATATAGCTGTTATTCTAGCCACAGCCTAAAGAAAACATTAACAAGAATACTAACGCTAAGCAGCAAAGTTCATTTATTGGGGTACAAAGTTTTGATATTGCTAGTAAATACACAGCCCTTTTCATTATTGACTTGAGGAACAGGAAAACTTCATTCCAGGAAAATTGTCAGTCTAGAAGTTAGTGAAGCATATTTTACCTTTCAGTATGTAAGATGGGAGCTGGCCCTAAGAAAAAATAGCATAATGCACTCAGAAAAGCTCCAGTGATTAGCAGCCACTTCCTTAAACTCTGTAAGAGATAGACAGAGAAGTTTGATTCTCATCAAAATATCATATTTGAGTAAATTGAATGCATTCATTCAACCAATAGGCAATAAAGTGAACTAACTGAGAAATCTCACATTAGATCATTTCACATATTCAGTTCAACCATAACCTAGCATTCATCATCATGTTCTTTTAGAACAGTGGCCCCCGATCCTTTGGGCATCAAGGACTGGTTCCGTGGAGAGAGTTTTTTCCTTCTCCCGATGAGGGCATGGTTTCACATGCTGCCTGCATACCGTGAATGGGACTGGTTTCTGGCATGCCGTGGCCAGGTGTCGGTCCATGGACCTTAGGTTGGGGGTGTAACCAGATGTAGCCAGTGTTCTGAAGCAGGAAAGGGTGACTAGGGAAAGTAGCTTTTCTTTCTACCAATAAAAATGTCTCACAAGCAGACTGTTTCTTCCAAAAATTAGGATTCAACTTGTCTGTTTTCAGATAAGAGTCCTCCTGCCTGCTAAAATATAAAACTTGTTACTATAATTCTAATTATAATTAGTATATAATGGTATAATTATAATTCAGGCTAATTCTATCCATTGCCAGGAGTTCAATCCTGACTTGCTCAAGGTTGACTCGGCCTTCCATCCTTCCAAGGTGGATAAAATGAGGACCGCACCTGAAATACTGCAACCAATTTTGGTCACCATACTACAAAAAAGATGTTGAGACCTTGGTAAAAGTTCAGAGAAGAGCAACTAAAATGATCAAAGGCCTGGAGACTAAAACATATGAAGAACAGCTGCAGGACTTGGGTTTGGCTAGTCTAAAGAAAAGAAGAAATAGGGGCGACATGATAGCAGTATTCCAATATTTGAGGGGCTGCCACAAAGAAGAGGGGGTCAAATTATTCACCAAAGCACCAGAGGGCAAGACAAAAAACAATGGTTGGAAACTGACCAAAGAGAGAAGCAACCTGGAATTAAGGAGAAACTTCCTAACAGTGAGGACAATTAACCAGTGTAACAGCTTGCCTCCAGAAATTGTGGGTACTCCATCACTGGAGGTTTTTAAGAAGAGACTAGACAGTCACTTGTCTGAAATGGTATAGGTTCTCCTATTCGAGCAGGGGGCTGGACTAGAAGACCTCCAAGGTCCCTTCTAGCTCTATTCTCCTCTGCTCTGCTCTGCTCTGCTCCGCTCCGCTCCGCTCCATTCTATTCTATTCTATTCTATTCTATTCTATTCTATTCTATTCTATTCTATTCTATTCTATTCTGTTGGGGGCAATATGGTGACTCTGTAAACTGCTTAAAGAGGGCTGTAGAGCACTGTGAAGCGGTATATAAGTCTAAGTGCTGTTGCTATTGCTATCATTGGCAATGGCTCTCCAAGGTACAGAGAGCCGTGCTATTGGTGATCTTTTTGCTATGAATACTTTGCATGCAAAACACAAGTTTCATCACATCTATCACATCAGAGATGAGACTTCATGGGAAAAGATTGGACAACTTTGACAAAGTAGCTCTACAGTTCTTCCACACATTATGAATGTATTGCATTACTATTTCTTACCATTTCTTGGCTGAGGAAACTCACTAGGCAGAAACACGTCTTCATAGTTGATCCTATGGGATTTGGTAAGATCCAATTTCAACACAAGGATTTCTATTATTTGGCTTCTGAAGCATGCCAACCCTAAACACCAATACTGGATGAAAACAACTGGCAAATCTAAAGAAGTTTAAAAATTAAAATAAGGATGGGGTTAGATCTTGTACTCACCGGCTTTTTATCGCTTAGAAAACCAAGAAGTGGTGAAGATATGGAATAAGGGAGCGCTAGGGCCAGGAAGACCAATCCTACGTATCCTGCTGGCAATTTAAACTATAGAAAGAAAACCAATATTTTTATTAGGGCATAAAAATAGAACATGATATTAATTCACTATATTCCATTGACCCAGTTTGTTGAATAAAAAGCATTCTGAGGACTTTCAGATGTTCTGAGTTATGACTTCATCAGTATGTTTATTTAAAGGATTTAACTCCAACCTTTCCTTTACAAGTAGTCCTCAACTTACAACAGTTTGCTTAGTGACCATTTAAAGTTACAACGGCACTGAAAAAAGTGACTTATGACTATTTTTCACACTTACGACCATTGTAGCATCCCCATGGCCATGTGATTTACATTCTGATGCTTGACAACTGATTCACATTTATGACGGTTGCAGTCTTCAGGAGTCACGTGATCCCCTTTTGCGAACTTCTGACAAGCAAAGTCAGTTGGGAAACCAGATTCACTTAACAACATGTTACTAATTTTACAACTGCTGTGACTCACTGACAAAAAAAAATGTAAAATGGGGCAAAACTCACTTAACAAACTCATTTAACGAGTTTTTCTAGAATGGATAGGATCTAAAAGATTTTTTTTTTCTTTCAAAATGTACCTACTTTTTCTAAGACAAATAATGACATCGTAGGATCTAGAAAGGCTATAGTTGAACTTAGTCCAAATATATTTAGACAAAGGATTGCAACTTTTGGTAGAACGATAAGCTTCAAGAATGAATCTGTTTTAGGAACCGAATCTGTAATTAGAAAAGCATAGAACATAAAATTAATTATTATAGTAACTAATCTGTACAAATATTTTACACATTAAAAGATACTAAGTAGACCCTGCCCTGAGTTTAAAGTCCTGAATTCAGATAAAGAAGGGGAAATAGCCTTTCCCTGTTAATATCTAACCAGGCTGGCACACAAATTGCATTTATTATGCATTTTTCTTATAAACAAGAATACAAATAATTTAAAATATCAATTATGAGCAGGATTCATAAATCAGGACAGAAAGTAGCACCCTGTATACCATATACAACAAAGTAGCATTGTGTATAGCATATGAATGGATATGAACCATGACAATGCAGTTAGAAGGTATCAGGCCCAAATACAGTTCTTGTCCTGATATCAACTTCAGCCCAGCCCAGCCCAGCCCATTTCTACACATTTAAAATACTAGAAGAACCTGCAGAACCAACAGATTCCATTAGCAGTAATGCTGCTACCATTAATTTTCAACACTAGAAAATTATTTTACTACAAGTTCCCGTAGAACACACCCATCTAAAATACCCACAATACATCGCTCTTGTTTTTCATTGCATTCTTAAGCTTTCACTGAGGCATACGAAGTCAGACTGCCATTTAAGACAAAAAATATATATTTTGGCAAAAATCCATTACAGCAGAGGTCTGGCATGCTTCGTGGCACCTGTCTGCAATTCTTTAAAACAACCCCATCTTTTCCTGAGACCGTGTGGCAGCGGGCAATCCTGGGAGAAGATAAAGCTGCTTTCAAGAGTTGCAAACTGGTGCTTTTGGTGCTCCCAAGTACTTATAAAGTTACTCTCTGAAATTTTACCAGAGCACTGCACAATTCTAGAATCCATGAAACTATGGACAAGAGTTCTATGAATTATAACAGGAGAATGTGGCAGGAATAATACAGGTAGTCCTCAACTTACAACCGTTCGTTTAGCAACGGCCCTGAAAAGGTGACTTATGACTGGTTTTTATACCACCATTTGTAAGCTTCTGACTTCTGACAAAGTGAACGGGGGAAGCCAGAGTCGCTTAAGGACCACACTTAACAACTGCAATGATTTGCCTAACAACTGTGGCAAAAAGGTCGTAAAAATGAAGCAAAACTCACTTCTCTATCTCTCTCACTTAACCAGAAAAAAAAAATGATTGTAAGTTGAGGACTACTCGTGACAAAAATAAATAATATCCCACTCTCAAGGAAAGAAACATCATCAGTTGAATTAAACAGCATAAATCTTATGCTCCCTTTCCCAGTTTTAATAAGGAGGGCAATAAAACCTCCACCTACTGTAATTTGGTATGATGAACATATTCAGAGGCACCATGAGCAGCATTACACTTCCAAGTGCAATGAAAGGGATTTCATAGCCAAAACTCTGGTACAAAAAGCCACCAATTGGGGGACCCAGCACTAATCCTAGTCCAGTAAAAACTTCAAGAGTGCCCTAAAAAGAAAGAAGAGACAGCAGTTCAGTGAGAAAGGATGGACTTTTGGCACCAGAAGTAAACCATGGTCTTGGTGTATAACCATCATTTATTAACAAAAGTACTACTGGCATAAGAGTGGACTGCATGTGGCTTCTTGTATGTAAAAGGTGCACAGAACCCCTAATTGCTAGCACATTTTAAAATTTAATAATCATAAAATTATTGTGATGGGTTAAAATTCTGCAAAATAATATGGCACCCGACTTCATTGAATTGCTGCGCCACTTTAAAACAACAGCTTCTATGGCTATTCAGGATACATCACTGAAAACCTTTCCACTGAAGCAAAGTGAGCTGCCTTATGTTTTAGTTAGGGTTGTTAACTAAGCCTGGGATACACCAGTTTGGTCTAATGCAGGGGTCTTCAAACTTGGCCTTTTTATGACTTGTGGACTTCAACTCCCAGAATTCCTCAGCCAGGCAGGCTGGTTGAGGAATTCTGGGAGTTGAAGTCCACAAGTCATAAAAGGACCACGTTTGAAGACCCCTGGTCTAGTGATTAAAGCGCCAGACTATGAATTGGGAGACTGTAAGTTCTAGTCCCACCTTAAGCACAAAGCCAACTGGATGATCTTGGGCCAATCACACTCTCTCAGCCCCAGAAAGGAGTCAATGGCAAAACATTCTGAACCTTGTCAAGAAAACTGCAGGAATTAGTCCAGGCAGTCAACAGGAATTAATGTTGACTTGAAGGCACAAAGAAAAAAAAGATTATTAAAAGGACTACAATCCAGTTAACTTTTTTGGCTTCCTAGATTATCTACAGAGATTATTCTGAATTGTTACCTATTAAGGTCAACCTGGTGCTGGAGAAGACTCCTACAAGTCTCTTGGACTGCAAGGCGTTCAAACCGGTCAGTCCTAGAAGAGATCAACCCCGACTGCTCTTTAGAAGGCCAGATCCTGAAGTTGAAACTCAAATACTTTGGCCACCTAATGAGAAGGAAGGACTCACTGGAGAAGGGCCTAATGCTGGGAAAGATTGAAGGCAACAGAAGAAGGGGACGACAGAGAATGAGGTGGCTGGATGGAGTCACTGAAGCAGTAGGCGTGAACTTAAATGGACTCCAGAAGATGGTAGAGGACAGGAAGACCTGGAGGAACGTTGTCCATGGGGTCGCGATGGGTCGGACACGACTTTGCAATTAACAACAACAACAACAAGGTCAACCAGGTAGCTGACAAAAGTACAGGTCAATTACTTTTGTCAAACATACACATAATATAAATTTGATCTTTTTTGTCATTTCCAAATAAGTCTTCATTAACAAGACCCCTTTTAATTAATAATATTGAGCTGGATTTTTTTTTCTCTGCTTCTGCTTGTTTCATATTATGTTACTGAATCTTACTCTGAGTTGCTTTGTATTGTCATTTTTAGCTCTAAAATGTTTCTGCTTGTTTAGCACTTAATGCTGAAGTGCAAGTGTTTGATGTTTTAAAACATTCTTTCTAGGATCCTTAAAGAGTACTTTTCTGGTGGAATAAAAATAGAATAAAATAGAAACAATCAGCAAGCAAAGAAAGGATCCGTGTGCTACTATTAGTATTGATATAATTAAAAAACGTTATAGCTATCCACTCTCATAGACTCTGGACTGCTTACAAACACAAAAACAATACAAGCCTGGACTAAAATAATCATAATGATAACACACTAGACCAGGACCCCCAGAAACACATCAACCCCAGGACCGACAGCAAAGTCAGGACTCAAGAGCTTTCTGGAACCCCAGGAGACAAGATGCTGTTTGCTGTTCCAGAGAATGGGGGCCACCACCTCGAACCCATAAGATATCCATGCTTAATAAACAGGATCTGGAATATACTGTACATTCTCTGCCAGAACATATTAGTCAGGGAGAAAAAAAATGGAAATAGGCAGGTATCCAGAAAGGTCTTTATAGATAACAACCAGCACCTTGAATTGCACCTGGAAACTGACTGGCAACCTATGCAGCTCAGTATCATATTGGCATACTACAAAGTGATAACATTGCTTTATACTGCACTAGTGAGGCCACACTGTGTATGGTTTTGGTCACCACAATACAGAAAGGATGCTGAGACCCTAGAAAATGTACAGAGAAGAGCAATACAAATGATAAAGAGTATGAATTGTATGATGAACAGTTAAGGGAGCTAGGTATGTCTAGCGCAGGGGTAGGCAACCTTGGCTCTTTTATGACTCGTGGACTTCAATTCCCAGAATTCCTGAGCCAGCTTAGCTGGCTCAGGAATTCTGGGAGTTGAAGTCCACGAGTCATAAAAGAGCCAAGGTTGCCTACCCCTGGTCTAGCTTATTAAAGAGAAGGATTGGGAGGAACATTATAACTGTCTTCCAGTACTTAAGGGGTTGTCACAGAGGAGAGGACTTATTCTCCGAAGCACCAGAGGGCAGGACAAGAAATAATGGGTGTCTATTTTGTTTATTCCCAGCTTGGACTGGACCCTGATGAAGATTGTTCTTTCAATAACACGTTTTTCATCTAATAGGTTGTATTAAAAGGCAAAAGCTTTTGTGAGCTTATCTGATGCACAGAATGGTTTTATTCTAATGGGAGTTTAATTCTTCAGCCTTCTCACCAGTTCCTTGTAGCTGGCAATATTCCTATTGCGCTTCCTTTCTATTACTTTGGTAACTAATTTCCCAAACCCTACTCTCTGCTGAATTTCTTGTTATTCCAAAAGTATGTAAGAGTGTATTATCTTAAGCAAAAACATATTTTCTTGGCATAAGTAGTGCAAAGCATAAAATTAAAGTAAAATTTGAAAAATTTAACAAACAAACAAAGGAAACCTCTTCTAGTAGAGTAAGAGAGTGGCTTTCTTTAAGAAAGAAGGATAAGACATACCTTTATTACAATAAAAACATAGTATGTTCTTGTGCTAAAAAAAGAATGCTTATTATTTAATTCCTTTTGTTGCGATTGAACATCTTCAGCACTCAATTTAAAAGCTAGCTTATAAAAGAACGGAACTGCCTGTTAATGTAATTAGGTTATCCAAAATCAAAATTGCATGGGCTCTTCAATTCATTTTTTCTGGATAAATTTTTTCTCAAGGGAGTTCAGCGTATTATTGCAAAGTAAATTACATTATCAGGATGTTATTCAGCCTTTCTATGTAAGCATGACAGAGATGTTAAACCAAAGTTAGATGGCTTCCAGTCTTTTTCCTTCTATGTGAGTTTCTGTAATGCATCAGATCTCTAGCAACCAATGCAGAAAGAGAAAATTCTTCACTATTGAACCACAAAACCTAATTACTCCTCCTTTTTAGATGATTTGTGGGAGATGTCACAAGTTATTTTCTCTTCACCAAAGACCTCATATCTCACATAGGTAAAGGTCTTAGGTCACTGACTTAGGTCGACAGCCTATTGTGACTGCAGAGTCAACTATGTCGAAATATGTGTGCAAATATGGAAGATTCTGTATGTTTTTCTTGTTACATTCTACTGGTTAAAGTATGTTACATAGTTGGAATTGAGCATCCTCTGTTTCTTGATTGGTGTGAAATTACAAAATAGGTGTTAGAATAAATATTAAATAAAAGCACAGGATAAGGAGAGACAAAAAAGTGAAAGAACCAGGGTAGCCTTCAAGAAAAGAACTGTGTTCCTTTGTTGTATATTAGGATGGAAAATACTACATTCGCCAGGGTGTGGAGCTTTTAGATTTTTTTTAGAAAAGAGATTCACATTCTTGCAACAGTCATAAGAATCAATCAATCAATCAATCAATCAATAATAATAATAATAGTAGTAAAGTTGGAAGGGACCTTGAAGGTCATCTAGTCCAACCCCTTGCTCAGGCAGGAAACCCTATACCATTTCGGACAAATGGCTGTCCAGTCTCAATCAATCAGAATACAGCTGGAAGGGACCTTGGAGGTCTTCTAGTTCAACCCCCTGATCAACAAGCAGACCGTATACTATTTTATATAGGTGGCTGTCCAGTCTTTTCTTAAAAAACTCCAGTGATGAAGCACCTACAACTCCTGAAGGCAAGCTGTTCCACTGGTTAATTGTCCTCATTGTTAGGAAGTTTATCTTTAACTCCAGGTTGCTTCTCTCCTTGATTAGTTTCCATCCATTGTTTCTTCTCTTGCCTTCTGGTGCTTTGGTAAATAAGTTGACCCCCTCTTCTTTGTGGCACCCCCTCAAATACTGGAATACTGCTATCATGTCCTCCCTAGTCCTTCTTTTCTCTAGAGTGGCCATACCCAATTCCTGCAACTGTTCTTCATATGTTTTTGTCTCCAGACCTTTAATCATCTTACTTGCTCTTCTTTGCCAAAGTATACAACCAAAGTATAGATTATATTCAAATGTTATTAGATATACACTACGTGGGTGTTACTCTTAAACAGCCGTTCACCTGGCTCTGTTCCCTAGCATAGCTAGGATGATTTCCCAAAAATCATCACAATATTACATAGTTTTGACTGGCCTCATACATACCATAACTGTGGCTACATTTTGTGGGAAAGCATTTATGAGAATAGAAAATGAGGCTGTCGCTGCAGCAGCAAAACCAATGGCATCCATTGCTCGGACCAAAAAACACAGCCCTATGAATATTGGCCCATCAGGTGCTCTGTCCAAAAATCTAAAGAGAAAGATATAATGAATCACTCTATCTCTTAAAGCAGAGATTCCTGCTTTAATAACAGATGTTATTCAGACAGATGTTAAAGTCATAGTATATTGACTGGTTTAGCAATATTTCACTGCAGCATAAAATAAAAGTAACATGTACTTTCAGCAATGCTCCAAAACATAGAAGTATTAACAAATACTTCACCCTGCTAATTTATCAGAGTCTTACAACCTAATATGAAAAGGAATGGAGGGACTTACAACCTAATATGAAAAGGAATGGAGAAAAAAAAACTTCTGTTTTTCAAAGGAACTAAGACAATGAACTCCAGGGATTATCCATCCTTCCAATCAGCAAGTCTGGGAAAGAAAGAAAGAAAGAAAGAAAGAAAGAAAGAAAGAAAGAAAGAAAGAAAGAAAGAAAGAAAGAAAGAAAGAAAGAAAGAAAGAAAGAAAGAAAGAAAGAAGGAAGGAAGGAAGGAAGGAAGGAAGGAAGGAAGGAAGGAAAGAAAGAATAAAATAGCAACAGAAACACAGTGAAGGAAAAGATATGCATAAAACAAATATCTATACTCACCCAAAAAGAATTGTGACACATCCTGAGACGAACATGCCAGCAATAAACATAAATTTTGCTCCAATATGTACAAGCTGTAAATTATTAAAAAATAAATGCTTGTTTTGGAAACTTACATGTATTTCAAAAACAAATGATATACTGACACATTTACATTTGTAACATTATAGAAATCAACCTAGTTTTTTACAAAGTGAACTATGCAATTAACTGTTCTTTATTATTACTAACAGTTCATATATTAACGACATGATAAACTGTATAAACTAGTATCAGTATGTTATAATGCTTATGATCACCAAAGTTTATTGAAAAGATTGAGCAGTGACTAACAAATAAAATATATTTTTTAAAAAGTTTAACGCATACCATGCATCTAATTCTAAATTCACAACAGGATAAATTGGCTGGCTCTGATATTACTTTTTTTTTTCAATATAAATTTTTTATTGTTTTCATCATATAAAAAAAAACATCACAAGTATTACACAATATTATTACACAATTTTATTTTTTTTTCAATATAAAATTTTTATTGCGGCTGGCTCTGATATTACTGAAGCATCATGGAATTTCATGGAAAACGCAGAATAATACGCCACCAGGCAAAAATTTTGAGCTAGGGGACACTTTTATGTTGAAGATGTGCACATAAAATGGCTACAAAAGGGTTTATGCCTATTTACAAAATGACTGCCATTCTGCAAAGCGTAACAATTCAAAGACAGCCCGTTTTCTATCACTATAGCTTTGTCACTTGACTAAAGGTTCCAGGGCTTAAAACAAAAATCTTACATGTTCTGTGACATAAAAAAGATTGAAAGGCAACAGATGGTCAGGACACTGAAAAAATATTTTATATACCATAGAAAATATAATAAAGGTTTTCAGTTTATCAAAATAGCTACAGCAGTGAGAATCTTAATTTATCTGGTTAGCTAGCAACCAATAATTTTTTGGCAGCATCTCTAGAGATGTTCTTAAGATTCCAATGGACATATATAACAAGGCAATTGTTCACATTAATTAGCCTAAAGTCATATAAAATGCATAAGTTAAAGGCAAGACTTTAAATTGTGCTATGAAATTGACTGGACCCACCGAAACAAGAAATGTAAGAACATGCATCAATCTTGGGCCTGCCCTTGAAAAGAAACAATTGGGAGCCTTTGATGACCAAAGCTGGTATGGCTAATGTCATAATATTACTGGGTAGCGAGGCCAAAATTGTCAGAATTTAAAAATGTGGGAATATTTTATATGGCAGAAATATAACTTCTAAACAATTAATAGACTTAGTTTCTCTTCAGAACTAGCTATGATTTCCAAATAATCTTACAGGTCCATAGGTAAGGTCCCTATAATAGTTTCTGGTGGGATCAGGATATGGGTAGTGCAGCTTTCTGGATCCTGCTTGATCTCTCACTGGTTTTTGATACCATCAACTATCCCACGGAGCTGTCTCCAAAGTTTAGAATGAGAAGCCTAATGCTTCTCCTCCTTCCTGAAGGGATGGTCTAAGTCAGTGGAGATGGTGGGGAAAGATTGATGCTCAGGTACCTCCGTGTGTATGTGGGGGGGGGGCTACAAGGCCCCCTGTTTTTCTTACCTGATTCAATATCTACATGAAACCATTGGATGAGATCATCTGTTGACATGTGACCATGTTTCAACAATCAACTGAAGAGATACCCAATTGTACATCTCAACCCCCAGTTAAATAAATAATACTGTCAAAGTGCTATGCAACTGAACAACTGCAATGCACCCTATATGAGGCTGCCTTTGAGGAGCACTTGGAAGCTAAGCTAATCTAGAATCTAGCAGCTTGAGTAACTAAGAATGCATTTTAAGGCACTCATATAAGATTTCTACTACGGGACCTGCACAAATGTTAGGTAGCTTCCAGTTGCAATTCAGGATCCTGGTTGTCATCTTTAAAGCCCTTCTTAATTTTGGGCTTGAGTAACTTAACCTTCTCTCATTTACATGTGCCTGCCAATAAGATGTAATAGGATGCAATCACCAAGTGTCCTACAGATTAGAATTGTCATCTTAAAGTACATGTTCAGTCATTGTCACCATCCTCTGGAATAATATTTCCTCTAATGTGAGATCTATCTCTTCCTTTTATGATTTATTTAAAAAAAACAGTATATATGTGGCTATATTAAGCCTAAGGAATGGGGGCTAGGCTCTTGTGACCGCCCTTCAAATTGATGGATTGCTCTTTATTCTTACTGCAAATGTTTTAGTCATAGGTCATGATTGTATAAGAATATAAAATATTGCTTTTAATTTTAATTTTTGGTTGCAATCTGTAATATATGTTGTGGAGTTATATTCTACTCAGAGATGGTAGATTGAAGCAGCCTAGAAACTAGACAGATGGGAGGGAGGGAGGGAGGGAGGGAGGGAGGATTGAAAATGTTGTCTGTTAGAGACTTGCATTTGTTTATCTGCTAGAGTAGATTGAACAGCATGTACCATTGACATTAATGTTGCCCTTGGGTCATGAATTAAGATTCTCATATAGTCCTAAATTCTCCTTGGTTACTACATAACTTAAAGATGGTTTTGGCTTTCTGAAACCTGTTGAAACATACTTAGGGTGCATGTTCATCTGACATTGTTTTAGTTGATATGCACTGCCATTTAGAAAGCTGACTTCTCCCAAGCATAGTGTTTACCGATCTGTTCAGAACATTATGATCTATTCCACTGATGCAATGAACTTTTTATTTATGAGGCTATATGATATTTTTGCTTAGTCATCATAATATTTTTGAAGATACTTACATATTTTCCCATTATCAAAGATGTCAGGAAATTGAATAACGCAAAACATCCAAAAATAAATCCAACAATTGTACTACTAACTCCTTTCTTTTCTGCCTAAAAAAAAAAAAAATCAAACACAAAGACTTAGAAAACAAAAGCCTGTAGCATGCAGAAAATAATCACATAGCTCAAATTTTACAAAAATACTCAATGGAACGTGGCCTACCACAATACCATAGGAAAAGAGCTAGCTATTACACAATATACCTACACATCTTTTGCCTGATTTGTTTCCCATAATTAGCATTTTTTGTGATATGCTTATATTCATACATTCCCCTCTAGTTGCAAGTCATGGTATTGTGAAAAATGATTGCAGCATTTCTCAAGTATAAAGCAAAAACAGGAAAGACTGTGTGGTGGCTTAGCGGTGAAGACACTCGCCTTCCACTCAGAAAGGGCAAGAGTTCAATCCTAGGTAGTAGCAGATATTTTTCTCTTAGGGAGCAAAGAAAAAAATATCTGCTGCAAACTCCGCGTGGCATCAGGAAAAGCATTCGGCTTGTAAATGCTCAGCTTCACCCAGTCTCCCCACTCTACCCCAAATTAAGGGACTGCAGGGTTGTAAAAAGAAAAAAAAAAGCAAAAAGAGAAAAAGCAGATTTAAATGCACGAATGAATGCCTGTGGCATCGGAATGGTGGCGGATATTGAAAAGTGACATGTATTAAGTTAGAAGAGTCCATTTTTTGCTGCTTTTTGTACCACATCTTTCTGGGTTCGGTCATTTGTGTAATTATTTTTTGTCAGCTTAAATCAGCGATGGCGAACCTTTTAGAGACTGAGTGCCCAAACTGCAACCCAAAACCCACTTATGCATCGTCGAGTGCCAGGTGGGTGTGGCCCATTGGCTGGGTGTGGCCAATTGGGTGGGCATGGCCAATTGGGTGGGCATGGCTGCAGTGCTAATGGCAGACTGGGTGGGACTAAAAAGTTCAATCAATCAATTCTAACTTTGCAAGAACTTTTTTTTCCCCCGCGAGTTGAAACTGACTGATTGAACTTTTTTTTTTTGCACACGGTGGTGGAGGCCTAAAGCGAAAAGGTTTTATAAAACCCAGCTGAAGGCCTAGGACTGGGGTGACGGCACACGTGCCCACAGAGAGGGCTCTGAGTGCCGCCTCTGGCACCCGTGCCATAGGTTCACCACCACTGGCTTAGATGAATAACAATTTGCTAACAATTTGAGAAAAACTGCACATTTATACAAATGAATGATTGTGTATATGTCTGGGCACCAAAAGGAACATGGTTACAGCAAATTGAGGTGATGCAATCATTTTTTAAAAAAGTTCATACCCACTATTATGCAAGTAGCTTCTGAGTATGAATGCGAAGTGAAAGTTCTGAATTCCCTTTTAAAAACTAAGCAGCACAATGGTGCTCAGTCCTCAAAGAATGCAAGCATACAACTTTGTAGAAACTGCTTTTAAAAGGCTGCTTAAACGCAGTGTAAATCTAATCCAACGGAGAGGCAAGAAGTTGGAAGAGCTGAACATATTTATTTGCTTTTTAAAAATAGTAAATAGGCAAAGAAAAAAAAACTAATGATATACCGGTAATTGTTTTAAACCAAGCCATCTTTTTAAAAATGTTATAACTGTTATGTTATACATATCTGTGTAAGATGTACTAGATTCAGGAGGAAGACAAAACTCTTCTTGCAGCAATAGTTTACAAAATGTAAGTTTTTGCATTTTGTCAACTACAAACTGATACAAGAACAAATGAGTCTTTGTTATGTGCACTGCTATATTACAGAAGGTATCATTAAAGTATCTTATTGCAGACTTTTGTTTTAAACACATACATCCATTTACCTCTCTTGGAAAGAATGGTCCCAGAATCGAGTAGCAAACCATTGAACCGAAGTTGAGGGATGCTGTTGATATCATGATAAATATCTGCTCTCTGCTCAGCCGCTTCGGTTCCTCCTTGGCAACCTGTGATCTGTCATTATCTGAGTAGCAAAAATCTCTCTTAGAACAGAAAAAAGGAAGGCAGCCTTCAAAACTAACAGTTGGAAACAAACGTTCAGATTTCTGAAACCGATCAGCTAGCAAAAAAAAATGCAGAATCTTATACTTCAATAGGAGCATGCTTTGTTTCATAAGTTGTTCCACATCTATTCACATGACAATTCTGATATAAAGCTATAGTGAAAATAATAACAGATTTCTAAAGCACGCTCACAAGGCAGTGCATTCTTGAAAAAGTTTCAGATATAGAGAGATTAATATTCAAAATCTGTCTTTTGATAGGATTAGGAATATGAGAATTCAGCTGGACTTTAACCTCCCCTAATTCAGAGCCTTCCAAATGTGTTGGGTGGCAGCTTCTAGAATTCATATGCTAGCTGGTAACTTAAGAGTATTCAGTCCAAACAGCTGAAGAGCATCATGTTGGGTGTCAGATTTTTGAAACTAAACTATCTATTTATGTTTTCAAATGCTCCAAACTAAATACTAGGTATGACCTAAGCAATTAGAGAAGAAAAATATGACCAAGATAATATTTATCTTTAATTAAATCTTCTCAAAAGTTCTTATTTTACATATTTACAATGCAAGTCAGTGCTTCTTTATTCAGATCAAGTACAATATAATATTGATCTTAGGTGTCCTCTTGACTCCTGGCAAATTTATGGACAGGTCCCTGCAGGTTTCTTGACAACATTTTTCAGAAGTGATTTGCATTTGCCTTTTTCCTAGCACTCAGAGAAAGTGACTAACCCAAAGTCACTCAACTGGTTTCAAGCCTAAGGCAGGACTAATCACTTAATAATTTTCATTATGATCTTTACATACCCATCTTTGTGTGTGTGTGTGTGTGTGTGTGTGTGTGCACGTGTATGTAAATATATGAGAGAGGGGGGGGAGGGAGGGAGATCCCTTTCATTCCTTCATGAAAGTGTCCCAGGTTCCTTTAACCCCTAGACCAGTGGTTCTCATCCTTTTTAATGCCGCGACCCCAACCGGTCGTAAGTCGAGGACTAAACCGGTCGTAAGTCGAGGACTAAACCGGTCGTAAGTCAAGGACTAAACCGGTCGTAAGTTGAGGACTACCCAACCGGTTGTAAGTCGAGGATTTTCCCTGCCAGGGAGCGCCGCGCATGCGTGGCTTCGCCCCCTGCGCCGGCCAAGGCGTAGCTGGCAAGCGGCAGAGACGGAGCAGGCTGACCACCAGCTGGCCCAGCCCAAGGGAGGTAAGGCACCCGCCGGAAAAGGGGAAAAAAATGGCAGACAAAAAAAATGGCGGACAAAAAATGGCGGACAGCCTTGCTTGGCGACCCCCGTGAAATGGTCGATCGACCCCAAATGGGGTCCCGACCCATAGGTTGAGAACCACTGCCCTAGACCAAGCTGTCATATACAATATTTTTTTAAATGTCTTCAAGTTAGTCTCAACACTTGGCAACTGCCTGGGCTACAGTAGTGCCTGTAGCTTTTGAAGAAAAAAAAACATTTGGAAGAAATCTTTGGAAGTGGGTTGCCCTTGTGTTCTTCCTAAGTCTCAGGCAAGACTCACAATCGCCCAGTTTGCAATTTCTCATTCTTGCTCTACAGTAATTAGCTAACTTCAAGGGGGGGGGGGGGAATCCTCAGGCACAGATATAGTAGATATGACCTTTGAAACTGCAGTCTCCAAGGCTACCTTTTGTAGGTATGCCATCTAGAGAGCCAGTTTGATGTAGTAGTTAAGACACCAACCTAGTAACCAGAAGCCCGATGAATTCTAGTCCTGCCTTTGGCACAGAGCCATCTGGTTGACCTGGTTCCAGTCACTTTTGTCAGTCCCGGGAAGGAGGCAATGAAATCTTGTCTTGCCAAGAAAACTGTGGAACTCACCAGGAATCAACACGGTTGCATAACCTCTTTCGAAAGATAGAGTAGTTAAAATCCACTAGTCCTACGTACGATCGAACATGGGGAAAACAGAGGGCTGCTTGCAATTCCGGACTGACATTCCTCGAAAGAAAGCACTGCGGGGAAGGGAGAAAAATACCCCGGGAATGCCGACATTAGCTCTGTCCCCTCTCTCACCTGGACTCGCGCCATCCGGGAGACCCACCGTTTGGTAGTTTTCCATAGCCGTGGGTCTCCTGCTGTAAAGCGGCTTGGAAAGGAGCGGGGGCTGAGC